ATGCGCATGGGAGAAGCAAACTGCACAGTGTGGTCTGCCTCCCCTATGATATGAAACAGGCGGTTTGCAAAAAGCGCTTCATAACCTGAGGGACCATTCCCGCTACTCTTGTACGCTGCGGTTGATGGGGCGTGTCAAGGGGTGGGTTCGGCGCGGCTCCAGCCCGTTTCTTTTCCCTCTTCTCTTTTTCGCCAAGCTACAAAACTGTACCATCATGTTCGTGTCAGTCTTTCTTCTAACGTTGTCGCTTACCAGTTTTAAGAACTGGTAAAACGGGCTGTTGGCGCCAAACGCAGCCGCTCTGGCACGCCCCATCATCCGCAGCGAACAAAACTGTAGAGCTGGAGCGGTTTTCGAAGCAACATATCTTGAGATTGGATGGCGACTTGGCAGGTGTCATAGTTCGAAACCCTTTATCCAAGCCCTTGTCAGTCTTTTTGACGGGGGAGTGGAAAGTTTTGCATCCTGGTGAGAGTAGGTCATTAACAGCTTGAACTGCTAAAGGCATACTTGTAATAGTCGCCGGGTAAGTATTCTAGTAAACCTCGTCATAGTAGTAGTGTAGGTCTCCTTCGCTTACTCGCGAATGGTGGATTAGTTCAATGGCTTAAACTAGTTTCGCGTGAACTCATTCATCAGGACCTGAAAGTATTTCTATAATAATCACTGTAAAATTTGTGAAAGCACCTTAGTACAAAACGTTATGTGAACTAAATCCTTCGGAGATTGCTTGAATCCACTTTTTTTCTTTCAGCATACGGGAAAGTTTTTCTTGTTCGTAAAATAGGAGGGAAAGACCATGGACAAATCTACGCGATGAAAGTGCTGAGGAAAATGAGGGTATGTTTTTTTGGAGCTATACTTACCTTTCACCATTACCTCTTGCTTATTAATACCTTTGTGGCCTTGAGTTAACACTGTTCAAACGGATTTCAGTTGCGATCTATTGCAGGTCCTGTCAAAGCCTAAGACTCTGGAGCACACGTTGGCAGAACGCCAAGTGTTGGAGAGACTGCGAGGGGTGCCATTCCTTGTCAACCTCTATTACGCGTTCCAAACAGATACGAAACTGCATATCGTTATGGGTTATCCTGGCATGACTTTTCTGTTAACCCTTGCTCTTCTAGACATTTCATGCCGTTTACATTAGTAGCTCCTGGTTGGCCATTTTTTGCTTTGTTTTATTTATTTAGTGGCACTCGAGTGTCAGTTCTAAGTATATGATATCGTAAGTTTATGAATAAAAATAAACCAGTTAATTTTTTGGTTGGGGGTTCGCAATGACCCTTGTCAGAAGGTGGCAATCATGAGATGTAACGCCAGTGCAGACAGGACAGTGTACTCAAAGAGGCAGTTTTTTCACATAGCAATGATTACATTACAACCGTTCACATTGTTTCGAAAAGGTCATGATCCCTTTCTCCCGTAGTTCGCGAGTCAGCAGATACAGATGCACTTTCCTATAATTATTCGTGGTGCTGTTATAGTGGCAAGAAGCGGCTAGTTGTCCGATTAATAGGCTTTCGAATAATTGGCCCCAGTACGTATTGAGAAGTGCTTGAAAAGTTTTTGATTAAAAGACCCTCTCATTCACCTAATTCGTTGAATTTCCCTTGTCCAAGTAAGGCATTGTTCACTGTCTGCGACCCTGACGAAACGGCGGGGTTGGGAGAAAAGCAAAAAATAGTCATCGATCGGAGAATCGCCAACCGCTAGTTTCGCCGAACCGCCGCGGTTCGGCGGTTGGGCGAAAAGCAATAAATGCGTATCGATTTCGCTGGCGAAAAACGCCAGGGCGATCGAGCTAGCGTTTCGTCGAAGGCGAAAAACGTCGGCGGTTTGGCGAAACGCCCATCTATTCGTGATCAAAACGTTTCGCCAATCGCCAGACTCTTCGCCCGTAAAACCGCCACAAGCCGATACGTATCGAAAGCTTCGCCTAACCGCTGCGTTCTTGAGAAACGCCTAGGCCGCGACTGTGAACAATGCCTAATACGGTAAGGTCTCTGTGAATGACCACTCTCGGCTCCAAGTGAGTGAAACCTCTGTGCGCGCCCTACATAACTTGATGGTATGACACAGTAACCTTCAGTTGGCGATCGCCCGTTTGAGCGCGTTAACACCACAGCAAAAAAATTCAATCTTTCCTTTCAATTTTGTTTCTGTTCAGAGTATGTGCGTGGAGGAGAATTATTTACACATCTATGTAGCCGTGGCAGTTTCGATGTAACAGCAACGAAATTTATCATTGCTGAATTGATCGTCGCTATTGATAATCTTCATCAGGTAACGATTTGTTTGTCTATTTATTCTGTACCACTGAGACTATTCGGTCGGTTTTCTCACTTCTGAGACATGAGCCGGGATTATCGATGGACGGGGTCATTGGGCGACGTCATTAGCGCTCCTCCTCCTCTTCCTTTCTTCTTAGGTTAGCCGAGCAAGGCGGAAGAGCTGTTGCCGTAGTTCCGTGGCTCCGTTCACATAACGGACTGTGTTTCAAGCAAATGGGCAAATGTGCTTTTTTTATCGCTGCCTCGGAGTACTTAAGGGCTCTTACTCTTACACATTTGTTTTAGCGCAAAGTCATTTACCGAGACCTGAAGCTCGGAGAATATTCTATTGGATGAGCATGGTCACGTGAAGTTGACCGATTTTGGACTCAGTAAACTGCTGGTACCGGAAGAACTCGAACGGGCTAATTCATACTGCGGAACTATTGAATACATGTATGGTCATTTTTCACTTTTTGCAACAGCTATTTATGGGTTCATGATGCCTTTTTGTAAGCTGTGTTACTTGTTTGCTTATTTTTCTGATTTTCCAGGTCACCAGAGGTGATCAATCGACCAGAAGGAGGATATTCGGATGTTGTAGACTGGTGGTCAATGGGTGTGATTTGTTTCGAACTTCTGACCGGTTGCAGTCCTTTCACAGTTGACGGTGCTGCCAACTCTAGCAAGGAGATTGCCAAGTATGAGTTTACCTCCCTACATTTTTCGGCGAAAATCCTCCTTTTTCCTTGTTTTCTAGGAGGATAATATCGAAAAAAGTTCCGTTCCCAAAGAATATGGATCCGGACGCACGCGATTTCATTGCTGCCTTACTTGAGAAGAAGTTAGAAAAACGACTTGGATACAATGGTGTAGATGAGATCAAAAAGTAATTTCCTTCTTAGCCTTAATAAACTGAGCAACGATTCCTGAATTCGTTTTCTAGGCACCGATTTCTCCGGGATATTGACTGGGACAAGGTGGCCAAACGTCAGCTCACTCCCTTCATTGTGCCAAATCTTACTCACGAGGTAATGAACAAATTAATTTCCGTTGTCTCTAAAAGTGAGCCAGTCTGCCAACTAATGAATGTCGCACAATTTTTTTGATCTACTAAGTGTTAACTTTTACAGCTCGATGTGCAAAACTTTGCTACTGAATTCACTAATCAACAGCCTCTTTACTCACCGGCCGAGTCTCCAGTCAACGGGAATACACTTTTTAGGGTAAGTTGTTGAGTTTATTGTTTTTATGACGTTTGGATTATCCAATACACGTAATTGATGCAACGAATCATGTTAACGTTCCTGTGAGCTGTTCATGGACGTCAGATACTCTTATTTTATTACGGGTAACGCCCATTATTGGCGCTCTTCATCATTTGCTTTGCTGGATAAGGGCCCATGGTTATCGTTACCAGTCTATTGAAAAATGAGTTAGGTTCAGGGGCCCGTTCAACATGAAGGTCGTCAGTTTTCGAGCTCCATCTCTCTTGAGCAGTAGGCGTAAATATGTGTATCAAAGACAGTCCTCGCGCTCAACCAATTCGTAGGCGTCTTTCCTATTTCAAGCCCGCAGTCTCTGAGGTTATCTCACTTTCGCGGCTTCACAACAAGCGACGAAGACGCTGCGGCTTCCATAAGTGGCAGTTCTGACGCCTCCTTAATTGTTCCGCTAACCAAAGCTCAAAGGCTATTTTTTTCCTTGTTCTGAGTTCAGTTCTCACATTGCGTTTTTCGTTTTTCTTCACTGTTGGACGGGACGGTATCATTATGAAAGACGCGAGAAAATATTGGTGGGCGAGGTGGCAGGATATGGAATAAAACAACAAACCAGGTCCTCAAAACTCGTCAGAGGCTGCCAGGTCCTTCCTTAGGATGTTCTCTATGGGTTTTTTTTGCTTATTTTTCTCCCATGGAGAGTCATTTGGCGACTGTAGGTTTGGAATTGATCCCGCTACCTACAATGCACGGGGTTTGTCTTTAATCATGGACGGCTCTAGGTGTATCTTTGATGGCTTTATCTCATATAGCATTTGCGAATTTCAGGGTTACTCTTACATCTCACCTTCTGTAATATTCGCTAACAACAACATAATTGGAGAGGAACTGATGCAAGAAGACATTCAAGTAAGTGTTCATTTCTTTCCGAATATCTCGGACTACACATTTATTCTCTGATATAGGCACTGCTTGCTAACTCATCGTTTTTCGGGAAATACAAATTGGACACAACAGAGAAAGGATTTTTGGGAAGAGGATCATTTTCTGTGGTCAGGTAGGCTTCTATTTGACCTCAGTCATATAATTCCGAAACGAAATTTTCGCTTCAATAGGCGATGTGAACGTATGGAGGATGGCGCTCTTTTCGCTGTTAAAATTGTTTCGCAACGATTTGCTACTCAGGCACAACGGGAGGCAAGGATTCTTGATATTGTTAAAGGTACTAGTGACCTTTGATTGATAATTCTGTTTCTTTTTAGCATCATTGTAAAAAGGAAAATGTCAAAAGTTCACATAGAATCGGATGTTTTTCTCTATTGTTTTCGAATACTGTTAAGAAAGGATTGTTTTCATTTTTTGTTTTCAAGTGCCGTCCAAGTGCCAGCGTGCTCTGAGCGCTCTTTGATTCACAGGTCATGTTAATATCGTGCGGCTGATTGACGTCCATTCGGATCCTTTGCACTTTTACATTGTTATGGAGCTGCTTACGGGACAAGAATTGTTGAAACGACTGAGGAAACTCGAGAAATTCACGGAGGCAAATTCTTTTAGCTGTTGTTGTTTGTGAGCTGAACGTCGATTCTGATAAAGTGCGAAAAATATTTAGGCAGAAGCTGCCGATATCATGCGGCAATTGGTCTCCGCAGTTGGTTTTCTACATGCAAAACGAATTGTTCATCGAGATCTGAAGCCCGAGGTTGGTCAGCAATTTTCTAGTTGAGTGGTATTGTGCGACGTCCTTACCCACTTCACTGTAACCAGGCGTCGGGGACAGAGATGGGTCAAAGTATGAGTAATTTTATGGTGTGTAGCGTATGACTCCATCCTCCGAGACACATTGGTTGTCTGAGATTTGGGATCTTCACCTTGTGAGCAGGTCCGAAGCTACAGTTTCCCCCTGGTTTCTGATGGTAATTATACGGTACACAGCGAAACACGGTCACTGGCACAAATGTGTATCACACAGTACGTGCTGCTCATCTGCGCCCTCTCTCTGAGACAGTGTCCGGTCTCAGAGAGAGGGCGCAGTTTGGTTAGTGCCGGTAAGATCGTAGAGGGGTTTTCTTTTATAGTATGTCGAATCGCCTCAACAGAGGCCTCCCCTATATCAGCCAGGCCTGTGCGGCTTTATTTTAGTGAGAGAGCGCAGACGAGCTGCAGGCACATTTTCGAGCGGCAGACTGGTACTTTTCGCAGCTGAGGACCTTCCGCCCCGTACTTGGAGGGTATCCCACCTTTTAGGTAATCGCACCATATGTCCTTGAACATGTGAATTCAACACGCTGCTCTTGTGCTAAAGATACCCAGCTTTGTCCTGAGAGAGGAAGTGTTTGCAGAGGGAGTTTATGCTTCTCAACCTTTAAGGGCGCTGTTCGGATTACGGGGGGGGGGGGGGGGCACTTTCGCTAATTCCTTGGTTTATGTCAACTAACAAGTCTCACTTTGGTGACCTGTAAACTCTTGTGAAATGGTACAGGTGGGCCATTTCTCACGAAAATTCACAGGTTTGCACAAGGTGACCTGGACAAGCTCGAGCTGACCATGAGTTCCATTTGAAGTCCCCAACAAGCTGAACTGCGCCCCTTTTGAGTGTCAGGAATTTCTGATTTAATGCTCTCTTTCAGAATATCCTGTTCGAAAGTGAAGATTCGAGTGCTCGTCTACGACTGGTCGATTTCGGTTTTGCGCGATTGTTACCGGCATGCGTTGAGCAACAGCTGAAGTCAGTCTATCGGAAAATGTACGCGCAAGCCCAGCCCACCCACCACGACACGCGACCGTAACCAATATCGAATCGCACGTGTCGTATGCATCGTCCAAACCGCACTGTTAACCTCGTCCGTCGCAAGCAGCTCAGATTTACCAGTCAACGTTTAGCTAAAGTTCACAGTTCACAAGTCTTTGTAGTATTTCTCTTTTCGATGTTGGTCGCCCATGGACATATCAGCCTTTGCTT